AAGTTCCTCTATTTTGGTAGCATTGCTTTTCAATTCTGAGAAAATTTCCTTAGTTCATATTTTGAAAATGTAATGTCAAGATCAAATACAGTAAAATCCTATGTAGATTTATTATTTGTTCAGACATAGTATATGATCACAATGCCTGGCATATAAGAAGTGCTCAGTAAATAATATTAACAGAAAGAATATAACACACTGTTATTTTTATTCTAATGGCACATTAAAACTTCAAAAAATATCATATATGTTGCCAAACCATTGTAAAAAGTTGTAAAATATTGTGATATATAGGAAACTGTCACTTTGCTATCACAGAGTAATCACCTAGACTTTGAAATTACTTTATTAATTCTAAGGTATTAATTCTAATATATAACATTAATGCAAAAGCATAATAGTTGACTAGAGGACTCAGAATTAGTCTTTGTAAATAATGTACATAGGTAGTATTCATAAAGCCACTCCCATACATATTAGCTCAAACTAAAATGCATAAAGTGTTCAGCTGGAGAAAACAATGAATACTTTGCTCATAAGACAGGCGGAATCAAATATAGTTTCATAGGGCTGTCTTCCCAAAATCAATACTTGAAGAAAATTCCTGCGTACTGCCATAAAATTTCAGAGACTTCTCATGGAGGAGAAGTGTTTCTTCAAGATTACTTCCACTGATGTTCTGGGCATTAAAATGATTTAGATTACAATATCTAAAAAAGAAAGAAAGAAAGCTTCTTTTAGGACCAGATGTAGATGAATTGATAAATCATTTGCTTTCCTCCTGTGCTCGTCTACCTTTTATTATGGGCCCATAGATACTGGCACAACAGTGATGATTATTTAAGAGCACTGCTCACCGGAACAGCGTTTATAACAGGACAAAAGGAGTTTTAGTGCATATTAAGGTATCTCCTTAGGGCCTTTAGATGGCGCTCTTTTACAACCTGCAATGAGTCTGACAGCGAGACGGAAGTCTGGAAACCCTATCAACTTGACAGATTTCATGACGGCTAAGACTCATGAAACGTTTATCAGACACACTGGGGATTTGTAAACTTGGTGCTGAGACTATGTGGAAAACAACATTGTCGAAGAAGAAATCCATGGAAATATTTCTAGATGTGTACCCTCCACTCGAACCCAAGAACCTACGGTTTTTCCTGAGTGTCTTCTAAGTGGCAGGCACCATGCTAGAGCGCTAGACTTACCGCAACAAACTGAATTGTCACTACAGTCTTGGAAGGATGGGCTCATCCCCATTTTACTGAAGCTCTGAGAGGTCAGATAACTTGCTTAGAGTTCATAATGAGTAGTAACTAGTTGGCAGAGGCTGGGTTTGGAATCAGAATCTCTTACTACTCAGAACCCTGGCCTTCTCCCTCTATGGCGTGCTGCCTCTGAAGACAAACTATTTTCTTAAACACTTTTGAGTGAGCTCCAAGAGGGTAGCAGTTTCAGACTGCTTTCTTCACTGCTGTAGTCCTAGTGCCTTGACCAGTGCCTCGCACACAGCTGATGTCCAATATAGATTTGCTGAGTGAGCAAATGACTGTGGGTTATAAGTTCAATTTGATCAAATACATATAAGTCTCTGGGGTCAGACATCTACTGTTGACATGCGAAGGTTTCCAAATCTAATTTTACCTTCTTTTCCTTCTCAATATATTGCTAAAAAATAACTGTAAGAGAAGAATGTACATGAATAACTGGTCATTGGTCTCTGACTTATGTCACTTTGAATAATTGATACAGGTTGTGCCCAAAAGATTACTGGTGTCGTTGACAAAATAAGTGCAGTGATAGATATCAACTTTATAAGATGTGTTTTACAACATGGGAGGGACAGTAGGTTGTTATAAAAACAGACACCCTTTTGCCACCTCCCCCCAGAAACATCCACAATGCCGTTTTATTTTAGCATCCAATATGGTATATGTATTTATATTAAGCACTCTAGAGATTTTATCTAATATTTTTCAGCAAGAAAAAGACATTTCTTCTGTCTACTTTCTTCACCCACAACCTGCAGAGCCTCAGGTTGGATTGAGTACTCTAAATACAGAGTCAGGGGGCTGTTTTGTTTTGTTTTGTTTTGTTTGTGCGAAGGAAAGGTAAGTCTGGCCTGACGTTCATGGATCATTTCTACCTCTACTCAGTTACATGACAGCCCAGTAACCCTGACAGGGTAAGTTTGGTTCTAGGACTTCTACCAGGATTACATCACTCTAATATAAACTTGGTGATAGGGGTGCCCTCCAGTGCTAACACAGACCAAATGCCACCTGTATGTTGGTGAGGATGCCGTTTCATAGTTAATCCACTGTCCTCAAAATCTTGGGGACAAGAATAACTTGGGACTGCCCTGTTCTTGGTAGATTTGCCACTGTTGCCTGGCTCTGAACACCTTTGGATTGGGTGAAAACTGGATTGTGGTTGGATGTGTATTGCCATCAAACACTACCTGACTCATAAGTAATATGTTTCAAAAATACTGTCCCTGGGACACTGGTATTTTCTCCTATTTCTTTTCCTACTTATTGTTCGTTAGTGTTTGACAGTAGCAATCAGTATAGAAATAAATCAGGGTCATCTACTCCTCACTGCAGACACGGATCCTCCTGCCTTAATTCGACACAGCTTCCTGCTTAACTCTTCTGGCTTGGCCTGTCCCATCCCTGTGGTCAAAAGACACCCAAGGCAGTGAGTGCCTTTGCTCTAATGTAGTTGGTCCTAGCTACTTAATCTCTGCAGAGTGCATTTCCCAGATTCTTCTTTCTTCTGATATGTGACATTGGTTCTTTTCTTGTGGAGTGGCTGATGAACAGGTAGGTGATGGTGGGTGGGTATAGTGACTTTAACTGAGGAGTCTGGGTTCCTCCCTCCCGACCAGAGTTAGAAGCAGTCAGAGAGCAGCAGGGAGAGGGCTCCTCTGTGGCAATTCGAAGCAGCCGCGTTTAGGAGAAAGTGTATGGGAATTAGAGACAAACACACTTGGGTCTGAATCTTAGTTGTGTGAACTCACTCTATGTAGTTACCTAAATTCTTACTTTAGTTTTCTTCAGTACAGTGATAAGATCTATGTAACAGGGAGGGGGTAGAGCTTAAATGAGGTTGTTTGTGTGTGTCCACCATGCCACCTAACACACAGAAGTGCTGAGCACATGGAAAATTAATTTGTTTCCTTCCTGCTTGTTTTATTCTCTCTCTCTCTCTCTCTCTCTCTCTCTCTCCTCAAAAAGTAAACAGAAAAAGAGAAAAGAGTTTACAGGAGATGGAGATTTACTACAAATCAGGTTTATTTCTAAATAAATCCTATATTATTAGTACTTAGTCCTGTCTCATCTTTGGTTTCTCCAATCTCTGGTGCTTTGTATATTTTTATTCTTGCCTCCTTCTCTGCATGCCACACTACCACCTCCCATTTCTCTGTAGTAACACACATGCTTGACTATCACTGAGAAAAAATCACCCTTAAATATTTTAATTTGAGCACTAGATGCTAGCTCCATGTAGACTGTGCTTTGCTCTTCAATTCTATTTTCTAGTGCCTGGGACAATGCTTAGTATGTTGGTTGAATGACTGGACGGATGAATAAAGGAGTGAACAAATCCCTGAGCTAATAGATTCTGTTTCCAGTGCCAGTTCTACTGAACTCAGCTCACAGCCATAGTCATCTTGGCCACACTGCAGCCTGAGTCTAGAAGAAGAAGAAAAGGAGAAAGGAGGGAGCATAAAGCAAAGCCTGAGGCCATTATTATTATTATTGCTAACATTTTTGAGCATTTACTCATCCTAACAACAACTTTGTGGCACAATTACTATTCTTACTGTTTTCATTTTACAAATGAAGAAAGTGAGGCTTAGCAAGGTTAGACAGCTTGCTACCTTGTGAAACTGAATCCAATTGGGCTGACTCTAGAGATTGCCTTTTAAACTACTTCATGAAAGACAGGGTCAAATCTTACCGTGGGAAAAACATTGAAGCTTGAGAAACAGTACAGATTTGTGAGTATTGGCAGAAGGGCACCACCTATATGTTTGGAGGCGATGGATAAAGGGGAAAGAGGCCTTGCCTTTGGCCTCAGTTTTTGTTGTCGACTCTGTTTTGCTACAAAGCTGAGGATATACTTGTTGGATCCTTCTGCAAGGCTCTGATTTTCTAATTTGGTTGTCAATTTAAGGATGAGATAAACATTTCAGGGAAATTATACATTGTGGAGGGTCAATTCGATAACTTACACACTTTAGAAGGTAAGAAATTTTAAAATTCAGATAACAATTAAGACTTTTGATTTTGTCATTAATTCTGCCTCTCTCTTAAACTAGGTCATAAGCTTTATGAGAGCAGAAGCATAAGTGTCACTACCATGTTTCCCTTAAAATAAGACCTAGCCGGAGAAGAAGCCCTAGCATGATTCCTCCGGGATGTGGAGGGCACGCACCCCTCACATGAGGGTTTTATGACCTGTTTCAGGGAGAAAGGTGCCTTTTCCACAAACTCCTTCAGATTAAAATATTCAGTATGTCAAGGTGCCATATTTTGGCACCTAAAATCATGCTAAGGCTTATTTTCCAGCTAGATCTTATTTTCAGGGAAACAGGGTATACGTTATTGACTTACTGAGTTTATATCCTTCTCGATGACGACAGTACTATCACATGACTGATGTTCCAAAAGAAATTTATTAGCTGAATAAAAGAATGATTTAGGCAAGGGAGAAGTGGCCATGGATGTGATAAATATGGCTAAATTGATAAATGAATGGAGGGAAGTGAGGAAAATGAAGATCTGCGTCATTCCCTCTATGTGGTAGATAGTATGCTTGTCCATGTATCAAAATTCATCTCCCTGAAGCCCACAAGAGGTTAGTATTATTGTCTTTATTTTTATGTGTGTGAAAACAGAGGCTCAGAGAGGTCACACAGTTTGCTGAAAAGCACACAGCTATCTACATATATGTCCGTGAGAGAGAGAGGTGCACTGCAATGCATGAATGGTAGATGAAATATGTTCTGAATGGTCTCAAGTGACTGGCTAAATGATTTTGCCCAGTTTGTTATTGACCTTGAAATGGTCACTGCTGATTTAAAGGCCTGAATGGAATCCAAATCTTAAGCATCATTAGATTTCTAGCTATTTGTTTAATGATATTTGCTTTTAATGATAATGATTCATTCATTCTTATTACCAATATGGTTATTTCTAATTCTAAAATGGTACTACATAACGGAGAAGAAAAAAATCTTCCTTTAGAACATGTTTTAGAATCAAGTAAAGCACTGCTCTATTATAAGGATCTATGAAAAAAGTGAAACCTAAATTGAAATTTCTTGCTCTGAATAATCTGTTAAATGTCTCTAATATGCTAATTTGTCCAGTCATGGCATACCAGATTCCCACTGTCTCCGTGATGGTTCTGAGATCAATATTTCATGAACTCAGGAATTGTTTCTCCCACCACACACATACTTACCTTTGTGAAATACTCCAGAATCCCAGGACGTTCAACAGTGTTAATGATGCCAAGAAGAAGAAGAAGAAGCTTTCTAAATTGCCTCTGTTTAATGTGTTTGGAAACCAATTGCCTGTTTGGAACAAATGTAATTGTTATTCAACTGCAGAGTTGTAAGTTTCTGTGAATATTTTATCATTCCACATTTCATAGAACTTTACTCGCTTCAATAACATCTACAAAGCCAAAAGCTCATCTGAAGCTCATTGTCCAAATTCATTTAATTCTGTAAATAACAGTAAAATGACAAGCAAAGCACCCCAAATATTTTGAAGGTCAGAAAAACAATTTGCATAACATGATATAGGTGTCAGAAGAAGTTGGCTGTAAAAGTAACCTTGATTATCCTATTAATTTGTAGCAACCCATGTTTGTCTTATTCATTTTTATATTTCTAGTGTCTAGAACAGTGCCTGGCTTGTAGGGATTGTTTAGTAAATATACATTGAATGAATGAAAAATACTTGCCATGACCAGGCGGTCTGTTGCGTATGCTAATTGTAAGGTTAGTGAGATACTATGTGTAGATGCCAGATATTATTATTATTATTATTATTATTATTATCATTATTATTTTAAATTGGGGAAATAGGGAAGGGGAACAGTGTTGGGGAATTGGGGAGGAGGACCAGCCAAGTTGTTGTTCTTCAATCTTCGTTGTGGAGGGCGCTAGTCACCATCTGGCTTCCCGTCGGCAGCTCATGGCCTCCAAGCTCAAGGTGCTGTGTTCAATTTTCATTGTGGGTAGGCGTAGCCACCATCCTATGTGGGAGTTGAACCGGCAGCCTTGTTGTTAACAGCGCATGCTCTATCCACTGAACCATCCGGGTAGCAGCTCAGCTCAAGGTGCAGAGTTCAGTCTTAGTTGTGGGCGGGCATAGACCACCATCGAACAGGCAGTCTTTGTTAGGAGCATGTGCTCTCACCAGCTGAGCCATCCTGCCACCTGTTGGCAGTTCAGTGGCAGCTCAGCTCAGGCGCAGCGTCACTGGCCCAAGTGGGAATCAAACTAGCAGCCCTGTTGCTAAGAGCTTGTGCTCTTAAGCTAACTCTTAACCAACTGAGCCACTTGGCCGGCCCTGTCAGATATTATTTTGACAACTTAAATAAATCCAGTGTTACCTTATTATAATACCAAAGGCCTTATTGGTCAAATTACTTGCAATCTTTGGTTGACATGAAGATAATCTTTTCAACTGAGGAATAATACCTTCAGCTGAATACTTCTAAATAAGTTATCCCTATGTCCTTCTGATGTGGAACTGCTATGTATAAAACTATTCATGAGGCTATATAAAACTATTTAAGATTCAAGGTAATTGTTTTTACTTTGCTCCTAAGTTTGACTTTTGTTTTGGATCTTTGCTATAACCCTTTTCTCTTTCCATATCCAAATATATATCTATTTATATGTGTGAGTATATGTATATCCATCTATATCTGTCTCTATTTCTACACACACTCAATTTTTCTTCCGTGAATTTTGAAATATTATTTAATACATTATATGAAATATAATGTATTATATATGCAACACTTATTTTTATGTAATACTTTTAAAACAGCAATGGGATCTTAGTATTGACAAATATATTGTAGATATATAGGATTATAGAATGTTTAAAAGATAGTTTAAAAGGCAAAAATCTCTCTTCACCGAGAGAACTTAAATTCAATTGCAGTTCTGAATGGGCAGAATATTTCCAAAAAATGTTATACACTATGAGAACAGAAATTGATCATCTTTTAACAGCCAGGTGCCAAGGTTTTTGGCATTTTCTTGCTTTTTTATCGGAGCAGCGCCTACAGTGGGTTGTGAAGAGGGGTGAGGGATGAGCACAATCCGTCTATGTGCTGATGGGCCTGATTGTCAGTGCCATCTTTGGCACATGGGCTGTGGGTTGCCTCCTGAACTAGAAAACGGTTCTTGGCCTCTCCCTTGACAGTGCATACTTGGAAATGGGATTTGAATTAAACGCTCTGTTCAAGGTTGATAGTCAGCAAGTGCATGAGTATGACAGCTGTGATTAATTGTGCCACTTCCCATTTAAAGCTGTTTCTCCTCTGTCATTTAACTTCTCAATGACTATTATTATGGATCAACCATGAAAATTAGCTTGTGTCCATTATAGTCTTGGACCTATAAATAAAATGCGGTATTGAGTTTAAAGCTGTTTTGTAACTTCTACTGCCCCATTTTATTAATTTGTGTTCCATTACAATAGAAATTTATGGTTTTATTGGTATATTGACATGATGCCTCCATCTGGTATTTAGGAGCAGTTTCACTGTTTCTCTCTATGTCTGGCT